GGGATTTTCTGCACAACTATGCACGAGGATGAGTTTTTCAGTGCTGCTTGAAATGTATGTTCTCCCTCCCGTGTTCTCGAAAGCATCTCACTTGAAGATACGTTTTTCTTGATTTTATTATTGAGATTGGACAAGATGAAAAAAAAAACAAGAAGACACACTGACTTGACTGGATATGATTCAAGTTGGAAAAGGGTTATAAATTAAACAGCCTGGATGCCTATCTGACCTTCTTTGAAAGATCTAACTGCTGTGGTGCAACAATGCTGCATTCACCTTCTTGACTCATGCAAAGAGGGAATACTAGTCAACTCCTCTCAGCATCCCGTTTGCTTACATTTGTCTTTGCCGATGTTATGATGTTAGCTGATGTTAAAGAGTTACCTGGTAGAGGTGTGTTGCATGTGCAGAAGGTACCGACAGAGCTCGAAGGTGGCCTGAAGAAATCCAGCGGAATATTTGAAACCTCGGCAGCAGGAGCCGCCATGTTTGATTTGAAACTTTGTTTATTTATTACCTCAAAGCACCATCAGTTCTCTGGGGTTTTGAGCCACTAACATTTGGAAATGAGGTGACACCAATAAAGTAACTGCTCTTCTCCATTTAGAAATATTTTGGAGTAAATGCTGAAAGGAACATTTGGAAGTAAATAGGAAACAGTCAAACTGATCATGACTTTCATATTGCTTCTGTTTTTTAACAGTTTTGTAATAGAGCACTGAGCAACAGAAATGACTTGGCTTTTGAGAGATGTTTATCAAGCTTTTACTGTACTATATGTGTTAGTGTCATGTCAGTGGTTGAGTAATGTGTCATTCAGGTCGGACGCGAGATGCTGTACAATCACAATTACATTTCTCTCTCTGCTGTGTTGCTTGTTTCACATTCATCCGTATGACTGACCAGTTGTAGCATATGTTTTCTGTTCTGGTGTGAACCTCCAGCTGGTTCTGGTGGACTCATGGGTCAGAGTTCACTTTTATTCAACTCTTCCCTGCTGTTGCTGTTGGCTAATAGAAATCATCATGCACCGCGTTTAGAAATGGAGAAGTCATATTTCAGTGATGTGCCATTACTTCGTTTTGGACATTGCTCTCATGCGCTGTTTACACTTTGTTGTGGCTCTGCTCAATATTTATTACCCACATCAGAGGTGAGACATTACATCTTTTTCAGGACGGAGTGCCGAGCAGTTCCATTGAAGCTGATGTGAACCTTTTAACTTCGAGCATATGTTCAAATGCAACTGCTGGCAATGCCATTTTAAAAAAAAAAAAAAGGGTGAATAATTGTAAAACACGGGACCAATGTAAATACTTTTATATGCACATTCCACTCAGCAGTGGAGTGGGTGGTGCGGAAGTGGCCACACAGGTAAAAAGTGTATTTACAAGGATATCTGTTTCCACATGCTGGGTGACATTCACAAGGTTTGCATCCATAATACTGTGTGGAGCAAGCATTTTCCTCTGTTTACACTCATATATTTAAAGGTGACACGTGTAGCATTGTCTCATTAATTCATCACTGTCAACAGAAACCAATATTTTCCCTTTGGCTGCCATTTCTTCATCCAGCAGTTGTTTACTAGGTTGCACTTCCCTAGAGATGCAGGAATATTTCTAATGTTTGGTACCAAAGATTTTAATTTTAGACTACTATTACGGCTGCTCCTACTGCTAGTTGTTCTCGATAGTCATTCGTTACCTTATTTTGTTATTAAAAGAGAGAGAGAAAAAAACTCTTCACATTACAGTTGCAAGCCAAATGTCAAGGAAATTAGAAACAGCTTTCCTTGTAAAGTGATCAGAAAAACATTTAAAAAGCAACCAAGGAGAAGAGCAAACCACTGACAGATAAACACTCCTACAATATAGCACTAATTGCTGTTATAAAATTTTATCATGTGTGAAAATCCGAGGCTTTGGAGTATCATTGTTTTTTGTCTATGTATGTGTATGTGTTTTTTTTATTTTTTTTTATGTGTGTATGTGAAAGGGGAAATAAGCTGGTGCTCTAAGGGACAGCAGTATTGATTGCAGGTCTCAGGCTGCTCCCTCAAAGCTCACACATCAGTTTTAGCTCTGGCACCATTGACATTCAGCTGAAATGAGGAAGGGGAAAGCATGTTGATTACCCCCAAGGGAGACAGCAAGGGCACGCCTTGGACATGACGACCAGCAGCTACATCAAATGCACAGTCTCCTTTCCTGCTCATCCTATGTTCATTTATACAGAATCAGATGACTTAAATGTATAAGCATCATTCATGGACATAAAGCATTCCTTAGAGGGGGAAGTCTTCAAATAAAATGCAACACACAGCAAAGCGTCACAGGCGTCTGAAAGCTGTTGAAACAATGAATATTTAATGTCCTCATTTAGGACAATCCTCCCATTGGAGGATTTCTTTACACTGTAGATCTGCCAGTTTGATAGCTGTGGGTTTCTTTTTAGGCGCTTTGTGACAGGAGGAGGGTTGAGAGTTGTGGGGGTGTGTTTGTTAGGCATCACACTCTTGGGATTTTTGTGCGTAATGAAAGTTAGTGCGTGAATCCGGTCGACCGAGCTGAGAGCCTGCATTATTGGAATCCATCAGTCTTCCCGTGTCCTCGAAATAATACACATTCTGAGGGGACACGCTGTTTTCTGGAAGAGGCGATGGAGCGTTATGTGCCAGAAATCACAGGCCTATTTTGCGTGCGTCAGTCATGGTTTGTGGATTTAGAAAAGCTTCTTATATTGCCATAATATGCTGTGTGCTGTTTTGTCTCATCATGATTGAAACGGTGCTATCACTGAAGGGAGAACAGTTGTTAAGGTGATGATACTACTAATGATGATGCTTTTTGTTTTGGAACGTGGAACAGCGTTAGCGTTTACTTTTTGTTTAATGGGTACTAATCATCGTTTGCATACTGTCAACAGATTCTTTTTTTGTGTGTGTGAGGAGCATTGGATGAGCTTTGTAACTGCATCCCAATTTCATGCAACATCATTTTACACAGGTTTTGAATATGTAGGGTGTTTACACTGGAATTGGTTCTTATTATCAGTCTTCATCAGTGGCCTTTTGATCAACGGGGGGGGGGGGTGTCCTAAACATGGTTTTAAAGCAATAGTTTGACATTTTAGAAAAAAAAATTTTCTTCATGGGAGGTAGATTAGAAGATTGACACTCTCGTGCCTCTGTTCAGTATAAAGCTACAACCAGCAGTTGGTTTGCTTGGGTTAGAATAAACACTAGACATGGGGGTAAATGGCTAGCCAGGCTTACAAAGTCCAAAGCAAATAAGTGCATTTACAAAAATGGGATTAAATGATGGGGGATGCAGTGACAGTGACAGGCTACAGCCAGTATTTTTGACTTCTGCATGCCCTCACATTCTGTTTAAGAAATCTACTTAAGCTGTCAGGGGCATGTCAGTGAATATGTCAAACTACTCTGTCCTTCAGCAATCTGAGGCAATAAGTCACCCCCTCTTGTTTTTCTGTATCTAAGCTGCAAAGATATAAATTCCAGGTCCCTATTTCAACTAAGTTTGATTTATGAAAAAAAGAAAAACAAACAAAAAAAACAAAACAAAATTATACAAAGAATTTAAAATATATGCCGACTATAAAAAATAAAAGATGATACATACATACATACACACTTACCTTTTATTACCTGGGGAACCATACAATACAGTGGAGTTGATTAGGATTGCCGACCAAAGCACAGAAGGCTCCAGCTGCCTCTTTGAATTCATTGTCATTAGCAGTGGAACACAAAGCCCTTTTCAAACTCATTAGTTGATAAAACAACCCTCTGATTTCTCATTAAAAGAAAAAACAAAAAAAACATTCACCCTTCCTTGCTGGCAATGCTCCTGCTTCACCACATCCCTGCTCTTCCGCACCTTCAAAGCCACTCCTGAGACTGGGAAAGAAATAGCAATTTCTTCAAGTTTATCCATGATTTCTCCCACTTATGAAAGTGTATGGTTTCACAGCTAACTATTTGCCGTGATTTAAAAAAAAAAAAAAAACTTTACAAAGAGCTGGAACCACTGATGAGAAATGATTATTTATTTTGCATCTGCAGCGTTCGCAATTGTAAAATTTTATTTCCACCTTCGGTTTAAGGGTTTCTCCTTCTCCCTTGGGATTTGGAGCTGGTGGGGGTCTTTTAAAGGACTCCAATAGAAAAGTAATTGCTTGTGATGCAGTTAATCTGTGACTGAATTTCTTATACACTTGAAAAAGCATGTCTGTGCAGGTGACCTCTGCGTCGTTTTTCAAACCATTCAACTGAATCTTCAAGCCAAAGAGAAGCAAAATCATTTCTGATTTCCTGGCAGAATAACAATTTATTTAAATTTAGACAAAAGGAAATACATACTTGTGCTTTGTGCAGTTTAATGAACAGATTTGTTTATATACACTTTATACACTGTTATAGATATATATAATCTCTTGTTACAAGTAGCTAAACTGAATTATCACCACCTCTTGAATATTCATAAAGACCCTTTCCCCTCCCAAACCCATTTGTACCCATTTGATAATCTAAAGGTGCAATAAAAAATCCCAGTTTTTCTTTTTTTAATTTTCAAAAACATTCAGAGATGCGTAGTGTCAAAATTCAAGTCAGTATATCTCATCCAGCCAGGATCAAAATGGACTTCTCTGAACTCTCCTCATCTCAAACAAACGTCACGAGTGCCAGCAGTGTTTTGTCTCTGTTGTAATCTGGACAAATCGAACCTAGACGGATACAGAGGCCAACCACAAACAACACCAGCCTGAATCCTCGCAGCTTGACCTCGTCTTTCCTCTTCTTCTGAGATCCTGAAGACGCACCTGAGCACAAAGTTTTTTTTTTTATCAGTGGTTTTAAGAAGCAGATCTGCCTCTTGCCACATTTCCTCATTGTAATGTAGATCTGACGGGCAGTTTTGGTTCTGAGAGAAAAACAAATAACTAAAACGTAGCATCTGTCGTTATCAGAGAGCCTTTTACAAATTTGCATGGATGTCTTCGTGTCGCAGCACTTTGTAGGTGACCCAGTAGAAGATGTTGAATATGAGGAAGCTCAAGGGAAAGACGGCTCTGGATATGGTGTCAATGCGTTTGGCCCGGTCCACAAAACGCTTGTGAAGTACCTCTCCATCGTACAGGGTAACTGGAGGTGGGGGGGTGAACACAGTGGCGCCTTCCACAGCGGCACCATCCTTGGTCTGCAGGCAGTGACCCAGTCCATAACCCCGGAAGTAAAAACCACGGCTCTCCCTCATCAGTTCCTCCTCCTGTGGAGTCAAGCATAGGGAAAAACAGATTGGCCTCTCGCTGTCAACAAGTATTATCTTACAGCTTTTCACATTTCCTTTTGGTGGCTGATTCCCAAATGCGTTTGGGGTATAGCAGCACAAAAGGGTAGCATAGTGCAACAGATTAAGGACATCTGCAGAAAAAAGAAGCATAGGCCACCCTTAGAAAGGAACATGTTCTGATACAGTAAATGATTTGTCAGTGATTGTGTGTAAAACGGGCGCCTCCCAGTTTGCGCCTCTCGTGTGTGACGTAAATATTTTTTTTCTTAAAAATGAACACAGAAATGTTTGGGAAAAAGTCAGATGTTCATTACCCAACACCTTACTGCTGCTCTGATAGTATTTCCAAAATCCTCAGAGACTCATAACCATCTGAATGAAAATCATATTCTGTCTGCTGCACAATAATAAAAAGGTCTTTTTTGTTTTGTTTCTCTGTATAAGACTGTATTTTCTAATCCAGGCAGCATCTCTTGTTGTACAGCACAAGCAAAATATCTTTTGTATTAATTTAAAAAATAATACAAACTACAATAACTGGAGACAAATGTAACATAACTGATCAAAATATTACATTTTGATTCACATTGTATAACTTAAGCTATTTTCGGCTTCTGTCGTCATAACTTGAAACATATTGAAGTCTTTTTGCTGAGCAACCGTCTGGGTTGTTCAGACATTTTCATGTATTAAACCGCTGCTTACTACGTATGTTATAGCAACACATGAGAGGCCCATGAAGGGGGCTTAAACAGGCACTAGCCTCAGATAAACTTCCTCTAATCAATTAAGCTTTTTGAAGTTTCTACAACACAAAGAGGGGAATTGGAGGGCATCTTCATTAAAAGGAAGAAAGAAATTATAATTCTGAAAGTTAATCAAAAAATTAACCTCCATCTCTCCTTTCAAGTTGCAGAATGATAGACTTTTCGAAATGCCTATTAATAAAAAGTCATGATCTAAACCCCACCAAAAAAAAAAAAAAAAATTGCACTTGGTATTATGCTTTGATGAATGGTGGGGCACTTTCTTACAGTGAATGAGACACCGTTCCCGCCCTCTGAAGAGAATATTAATAGACATGCAGCTTAACTCTGACAGCCTTCTGACACTTTGAGAGATTCACTTTAGCAGGGGAAAGTGAAGATGTGGGATCTAAATTGGATGATTAGTAGTCAGTGTGAAGTGCCCTGAAAGCTCTGATCCCTGTGTCCCCTTCCTTCTCTCTCTGTTCCTCTTTCACTGACCCTGGCAGCTCTCTGCTGAACTTTGCATCCCAGTGCTTGGGGGGGGGGGGCAGACTTGGCTGTGAGACACTACCAGCTCCTGTCAAAGGTCCAATGCTACTAATGTATTTCACACCTGTCTCTTAGTGTTACATTTTTCTTGCACAGTATATTCACTTAGTCCTTTTAAAAACTTTCCCCACCTTTTTGATCTCTGCCAACTGCCCTTTATTTGCACCTTCACTGTTTAGCTGAAGGCTAAACTGCTACCTTCATTTACTGTAAACTTCCTCCATCTTACAATTGTCTGGGTGTGACTAACTCCGTGTGTGCTATCTGTTGCCCCAATGACAAATTACACCGTACGACAGGGGGATGGGGAGCTGTAGCTCTTCTAGCACATCTTAATTATCCCTCCTACTCTTTCCTAAACGATACAGTACATCATGTGCGAAAGTCTAATGGTGCGTTTTGCTAAAGATAATAGGTGCTCATTGTTTTAAGTCTGTGCGCTCAACAGCACCCGCACACTTTGTGATTTGTTGGCATAAGATCAGTTGCGACTAGCCCTGATTATCACATTGTATCCTTGGCTGTGAAAATGGTTGTTTTCAGTAAGTGATTGGTGAGAATCTGTGTTTTTCCTTTTTGTAGGGTGTAAATTAAGTCTAATGCAAACACAACTGAAAGAACTGTGCAAACTCAAAGGAACAGTTTGACATGTTGGTAAATGCACTCATTTACTTTCATGCTGAGAATTCGATGAGAAGATCGAGACCACTTTCTTGTCCATCTGGTAAATATGAGGCTACAGGCAGCAGCTAGTTAGCTTAGCATGAATACTGGAAATAGCGGGAATCATGTAGAACTCCGTCCGATGGTAACACCTTTTTATAGGTTTTTGTATGAATCAAAGAAATTAGATATATAACCGGTTAATTCGTGAGTTTTTGAGATTGCTGTAGATGGATTTTGTTTAGCTAGCTTTCTAGCTAGTTTCCAGTTTTCATGCTAAGCTAGTATTAAGTATCAAACTTCTCATCTAACACCTTTCATGAAGGCATATAAACCGATGTCCCAAAATGTTACAAACAAAACAATAGCTCTGCCTTCTAGTAAATGCCAACAGTGATGGCAAATTTAAGAACAAGGAGAGAAGAGGAAGAAATTTATGTTCAATTTAAATCGGCATTAAAAACAGGTCACACATTAGGAAAGACTTAAGGGCAAGTTTGTAATGTTGGTACAAAGGGGCAGACGGGTCTGAAAGAGAGGGTCATAGAGACGGGGTGAGATCAGCATAAAGCGGGTTTGGTTGTTTGTGGGAGAGATGCCAGGATAAAGTCAGGTTTGAGGTGAAAGTTGCACAACACAATCAATTTGGGAGGCTGGAGGCATGGACAAAAATTAGGTTTGAAGGTCAGGGTTGACACGGGGGTCAATTTTTACCCTGGCACAGGCGCTGCAGTGCTGATTCAGATTCCTGTAGGTTGAGTTGTTACCGGGGGTGTCATTCGCTTTCCGCAACGACTCAACACTTCCAGGCTGACTGTCAAACACCTCCATAGAAAAGGAAGGTAGATGCATTGAAATAACAGTTATTGCTCATTTTCATTTCATCTTTTGATGTAAAACAAGTATGAAAACTCTTGTAAGAGAAATTCCTTAGTGGTTAGTGTATTTTGTTTTGTATATTTGGAGGAAACAATAATTCCCTCTGCCTCATTTAAATAGTGAAAAAAAAAAGAAAAGACAAATTACCTGTGCCATGCCAAAAATAAAGTCATTAAAGATGCAAACTTCAAATCCAAGCAACAAACTCAAGCAGACGTTCTCAGCCTTTAATTAAAGAGGCACTGTGAGTGTGATAGTACAGGACATTATCTGCCACTGTTTGTTAGTTTAGAGAACTGGCTTTGAAGACGAAAGAATCCTCAAGGAGCTTCTTCAAGTTATTTCTGTGAAGACTATAAATGGAGTTACAGATCTATTTATTATTTTTTTGTAGTTTTGAAGGCTGTGTTGGTATACAACACCCATTGTAGTTGTTTCTCTCGTGCTTTCTAAGCCAAAGACAAGGCTGGAAAAGTGCATTGATTAAGCCTGGTCAGTCTGGGATTTGTACACTCCATCAGATTCCCAGCCTCTTTCTAGTAAAACACATCGGGTCATGCGTCAATACCTCTTAGATGGATGGTTTGCGACCTCATACTCCTCAGTGGGAGTAATTGTGCTGCTGATGTGGACAGGGGAAGTCCTTTCCTCCACAGACCATCATTTTCTCTCTGCTGTATCGACGCAGCAGGGCAGACTGCCCAGTAAATCTGCTGGACTCTTCTGCCTTTACAGGGAACTTTGCCATGAGTCTGTGAGGCTGCCCAGTCTCTGAACTGTTTTTTAATGGGATTTTCAAGACATCTCATCTGTTTCTCTTGAGAGTAACCTCTCTGTCACAGAAGGCCTCACACTTCTTGGCAAATGGGTTTATTTGTCAACCTTACAAGCTGGTCGCCTTGATAATCTTCATTCAAGATAGATCCAACAATTTAGCAGGCAAATGTTTGGGTCCAAAAAAACAAAGATACCACTTACTGATAAGACCAAGTATTGATTTTATTAATGTTAATAAATCATGTATTAATGCTTTATAGACCGTTCATAAGCATTAATCAGAACAAACTGTTGAGGTGTGAAATCCCTTCGGCTGTTGTCGTTCCTCTTCCAGCTTTACTTGTTTTATCTTTTTAGTCAACATCAGGAAGATGCTGCCACAATTCTGCACAGAGAATCTGGACATCCATTTAATATTAACTTAATAACATTTATATCTACAGACTTTTTACTATGTATTATTAGAAAATGAAAACCCATGACCCTTAATTAATGTCTCATTAACATTTACTTCATAACTGCAGGTCCAATGCCTTATTGGAAAGTTAAGCAAGCCATTAATATAAAGCAATTGCTTTGTCACTGAAATAAGCAATCAGACCCACAGTTATAAATCTTTGTAAGTAATTCATAAATGGTCTAACAGTACAATAACCCATGAAATCCTGAGTTGTAAATGTTAATTTGTTAATTACTGGATTTTGGTTGGGATGGTCTGCAGCTCTTTTCCTTAGAGTCTGGGGTCAAACTTTATTACTTATTCCTCCCTGAAGTTATGTGAGAGGGGGATGTATAGATACTGTGTTTTTTTTTTACAATCTGGAAACCCAAACACAAATGGCACAGATAAGCATATTTTCCAAAGTTTCAAACTATGGCTATAAGCATGCCTTGATAGGACATATTATCGAGAAACAGTTTACAATGATTTATAGGTATTAGAGGGGACCTGTAAAAATGATAATAAAAAATACAGTTATCGGATTAGCACTTATTAGATAGTTAATGAATCCATCAAAATCAAATAGTTATGACAGGCAATGACAAGGTAGTCTCTCACACTGTCCACAACAGGTCAGAACATACAAATATGTTAACCAGGCTGCTTCCAGGAGAGTTGGGGTATCCCATTCCCAGGGGGTTTATCAAGAGGCTGCTGATGTGTCAAATGACAGAGGGGAAGGATCATAAAGGTTCTTCACAGGTCAGTGCTCACCATGGAAACAAGCTGAACTGAAATGAGCAGATCTTCCTCATGTAATATGACAGCCAGCTGTAGCGTGTTGATGTTGTCAGTTCCTGAATATACAGCGTCCCACAATAACAAGATGCATAAGGCAGTGTTATAGGGGCTGACAAGGACTGTGTGTGTGTGTGTGTGTGTGTGTGTGTGTGTGTGTGTGTGTGTGTGTGTGTGTGTGTGTGTGTGGCTTAGTTCTTAGAATCTGCTACAATGTGTGACAGTGTGTATGTGCATGTTTTTCCTTGTTGGAGCATGCTTTAGCCTGAGAGCGTGCGTGTGTGATTTCCACTTACTATTCTTTGCTGTCGTTGCTTTTTCCTCAATCTGATGAACTCCTTGTGTTGCCTTGAGACAAAGTTGACAGCTGCATACTCCAGCAGGGCAGCAAACACGAACAGAAGACACACTGCCATCCAAATGTCAATGGCCTTTACATAGGACACCTGGGAAGAGGCAAGGTCACAGAGTCATCAATAGCCAGTCAATGAGGCTGATGGATAATCTGTGGCTTGTTCACAATCTACCCATTCCTCAGCTCTGGCATGTAATGACACACATCTTTGGCATGGCCTACAATTGTAATGAGTCAGTGGGATGTGGGCAGTTGACACATAGCCATGGGACAGGTCACTACTAAGACTTGGGGAGAGCCCTGGCTGTGTCGTTCATGAGAGAAGATGTGTCACAACACATCAGTAATGCACATTGAACAAGCTAAGTGTGGAAACTCCACTCAATTGAGCAGCAGTTCTGACTGTTACAGATACATGCAGAGACATGGGGTGGGGGGAAGCAGGAAATGACACATCAGTTGGGTACAAACTGTTACCTCCTGTGGACACTGGAAACACCTCAACCATGTTTTAATCAACACTTCCACTGCATTAGTCTCATACTCCAGCTGTCACACATCTTTGTCTTTTTTTCACTGTGTCAAAATACCACTTAACACCTACTCACTAGGCTTTCTAACAATCTTAATTTAATTTATTGTGTGAAATACTTGTATTATCTATCTCTTCCTTTCATGATTAACCCATGAAAGGACACCTGTAACTACTATTGCTCAAACAAAGAGGAAATAGCCACTAGAAAACCACATGTAAACAATACAATAGTCCAACTACCACAAATCAAAATATAGAGTTATGAAAACAAATTTCTGTGTCAATTCATTTGAGGTTTTTAAAATAAGGACTGTATGCTCTGTATAATATTGTTAATTCTTTGGAATACTTTTATTCCTCTGTGTGTATGCAAATACATAGAAGAGTGAAAATACAACAACACCACAAACTACCACAGACGTCTTTCTGACAGGATCACCTATGATTTGTTTCACAGATAGAGGCACAAAGTTTTTAACACAGGACAGTATTTGATATAATTACAGTGAACAGGCACATTTACTGTATTTTTCTGGTTTAACACTTTTTGGTACTGTAAAATGTTTGTGTATATTAGTAGTATTTATATACATTATAGCAGGGCCTAGGCTTATCTTGATTATGAATGGTTGAGAAACACACAAAGTTCAAACCATGGTGCTTTGCTAAAGTATGAAAGTTTATCATGGCTACAACAATTTCAGAGGGAATAACTTACATCTACGTTTAGGCCAGATCCTGTGACAGAGGTGCTCACATCTCTTCGTTTTAAGGGATCACAAGCCTAAAGCTTTGGGATCAATTGGCTTAAAGGTTATAGGCCACCACAAAATCGGGTTTGCGCCCGGAAGCTCTCCAGTTTGACCCGCAGACAAACGGGACACAAAGTGTCCATGGCATTTACACTACTTTCTTCTAACAATCCCAGAATACAACATGCTGCATTTTATAGATATGAAAATTAGAGCTGCGTGACTCTGGAGCTGTCAGTGAAGATGCCAAATGACAAATTGAGTGTCATTGTGAAAGAGTGAACAAGAGAGTGGTTCTGAACACTGTGATTATACTGGGCAGCTTCCAGGTGGAAATGTGTGTAACTGTGTGAATGCAAACAGGACGTTCCTGAAAAACGCAGCACAGCTTTTTGTCTTAAAGTTTATAAAAATTCTACTCAGGGTCAACATGCAGGCAAGATCTGCAACCACCAGTGAGAGTCAACTGGTAACCTAGTACGAGGCAGAAGAACTGTTGCTATGGTTACCTACAATCTAATAATCCTCGTGCAGTGATTAAGAACACCGGATCTCATCAAGGTATCGTAAAACACATTTTAATGGACACCTGTCAGCCAATCAGAAACAAGTATTTGGCAGTGTGATGGTAGATGTCTCTCCTCTGTTCCTTTCGCCTCTTCCTGCGTTTTCTCTGTGGGTACAGTGTGCCCGCCTCTGCCGGGTAGATGTGCCCTGCATGTCTTTCACATGGAGCCCAGTGTCCTCACCTCACCTGGCTGTTGTATCCTCTCTAATTAGTCTCTAGCCTTGTCGTGAATCAGGACCTGCCTCATGCAAAGTCAGCATGTCATGACTAAATGCGCCCTAACAGGTCGTCCTGTTCCTCGAAATGCCTCTTTTACTTTGGAGGACACAACCAATATACCTTTTTGCAATTGATGGTAACAAAAAACATTTGTGTGTCTGTCACTTGTTTCATGGGGCATTTGTGTCAGCCTTGTCAACATGTCAGGAAATATCAGTCACGAAAGGAAATAGCATTTCTAAATGCATCATGTTTTTGGGGGATATATCAGGGCAAAATGTCAGAATAGTCTACAGGTTTCCAACTCAGGCCATGCTATGTTTACTACACTTTTTTATTTAGTCACTGACCTTCTTGTTGAGCTGATTATGAGCATTATGTAAAGCTGTTTTCTTTCATATATACTTGTTTCTTGTAGTAAGAAGAGCATATTTTAAGCTCAGTATCAGAGAGCTTACACTTTCTTTGTGTTTCACTGATTTTCAGACAAAAGCAAAACATCTAAAGTAGCCCAATGTCATTTTCAAACATCCCACAAAATTGAAAAAACACATAGATGAAAAAGTCTGCAGCCCTGACTCGCCCCCTGCACCTTTTGTGTCTTTGCTGATCACTTTGCTCAGTAAAGAGTCTGCCTGCAGCAAACAATAAACCTGCCACTATGTACATACAAGCAGGAGTCTCCAGACTCACCTTGGGCAGTGAGGCTCTAGAACCAGAGCTCTGTGTGGTCATCGTCAGCACAGTGGTGATGCCCAGACCAACTCTGGCAGGTGCAGCATCCATGTTTATCCAGAAAGATACCCATGAGAGGATAACAATGAGGAGGGAAGGGATGTACATCTGGATCAAATAGTAGCCCATTTGACGCTCCAGGTGGAACTTCACCTCAATACAGGTGAATTTACCTGCAGACACATGACATAGTACAAGCAGTTGTGTTTTTCTTCAATTACGCTGTTGGAGCAGTAGAATATAAAGTACATGTAAGATAAATATAATATTTGCAGAGAAGAAATTTTGGTAAAAGCAACTGTCCTTTTAACCTTACAAGTCATAGGTAAAATCCCAACAAGAATAAATATGTATAATATTCTTGAACCCGTTTTCAATCAGATGAATTTCTGCTTTTACGTCTTGTTCATTTTACAGACCTTTTCTGAAGAAGAAATCAGTTGAAGCGCTCAATTACAATTTGCCTTTTTAGCATGAGGTCACTGGTTTCTCAACACTTTAAATGGAATTCATAATGTACCTGTGTTATAATGCTTTGTGCAGTAGCCCAGATCCTTCTCCTCTTTTAGCACAAACTGTGGGAGGGTGAGATCATCAGCCACCTGAACAGGGTTGTCAGACAGCCACTCAAAGATCAAGTCATTCATGGTGTAACCAACTGTGAAACGAGAACGGAGCAGATAAAGAGGAGAGAGAAGACATCTAAATAAGGGAGAGATAGTGAGAAATGAGGCTTTGCAACTGTCATGGAGTATAGCATATTTCCGCTTGCTTTGTATTCAGTACAAAAATAACAAAGACAAAGCTGTTTAGATTTTGATACATTGCTGAAAGTCAAGTAATATGCTGCACTAGCTGTTAAAAATTCATATCCTTATTATCACTATTGCTGTGATCCTCGCCCCCTCCCCTCCCCTTCCTCCTCCTTAACCTCATTTTTCACTGGGATCTTGTTTCTGAGGCACAGATTTTATTCCATAGTAACATCAGAAACCTTGGCTAATGAGACTTGGAGAGCGAGAGGATGAAACTTGGAAGACTGGTGATGTAAAGGCCCTCTGCCCATCTGTCCAGCAACAAGCTACCCTCTGCCATCATGTTTGTCACAGTAAAGGTCACACACCATAGCTACATTCGTGCTGTTGTGGTTGCTTGAAGGTTACAGAGTAAAAAAAAAAAAAAGGCGGGGGGGGGGGGCATGAGGAGCATATCTGCTTAGGACGGATGAGATATACTGCATGTGTTCACTAACACTGAGCGTATTAGTGTGTGTAATCCTGTTAATGCACTGCATGTGGCTGCACCGATAAAAGTGTACAATATCATATGCAATATAATGGAATACATCAGTTGTGTTTGCAAGTGAATATACAACTACTGAAGCATTTAGAAAATCGCCACTCAGGAGAGGTCAATAATTATTTTGCCTAACCGCTTGAAACACAAACGCACACATCCGCTGTTGATTTGCATGATCTCTTTCAGGGCTGCACTCCTCAAAGCTGCCTGATTACAGGTGTATTAAAAATGCATGCCACATGCAAAAACAACAACAACAACAACAACACAGAATTCCTCACACATCTGAATAATACTGATGTCTACTGGGACCCTTTAGGGACTGAGCTACAAAGACATCAATTATTCAAGATGTTATACCCTATCCCGTACCACACGCCTGAAAAACAACACTACTCAAACACGCTTATCTTGTTCATGGGGAGAATTCACTGTCATTCACACACCCTGCCGTAACAAGCAAGGGGAATACCAATTCTTTAAAAGATAATGAAATGGTCTCCTTTTCTTCCACCAGCTACAGCTAAGAGGCGTTAAAACTCAACTCACAATAGTGTTCAAGGTGCAATAATAATGAAATTTATGAGACAGAACGTCTGGAATATCTCAGCAAAGTAAGGTAATGACTGTTAGTCACATGTCATCTCCCTTTTCATGTAAAGAGGCAGTTCACCTAATGATAGCCCCTATCATAATGTACGTTGTGCTTCAGATTTGCAGTCTTAAGTCTTGCTTTTTTCACTTATGGTGCAAGTTATGAAGTGGATTTGAGGTTACTGGACACTAATGGCTCAAGGCAAAGTGAAGTGGTATAAGCTGCATATATGGGGCTTTGATGTGTCAGAATAAGGCAGAATCTATTTATATGTCTATATAAGCCCATGGCATGAAAGGCCAGAAAAGAAGATTGGCCTTGGCTCTCTCAAACCCCAAAGATAACTCTCGTCTTTTTCATCACCCTCCTTTTTCTCTCTTTCTCATGTTGAACAGACGGCGTTGCCACAGCTCCAGTAGTGGCAGTAAAACCTATAATGTCCTCTTAACATCGAGCTCTAGCCAAGGTGATCACACCCTTGGGTGGTGTACCAGCACTTGTCAACACAAGGCCAAGTATCCTCACCCACCAGGCCTTTAATCAGAAATGATTACATCTCCTCTAATGGCAGTGTGACAAGATACACTTACCCAAACACAAACTTATACACACACACACACACACACACACACACACACACACACACACACACACACACACACACACACAGCTACACGTCTGTTTGCCTGAAAGTCTCCCCATCTCATGCTGCTAAAGGGTAAAATATCTTTATATTTTTGTTTTTATGCTGGCTGACATATATCTTCACTATTCATTGGATTTTTTTTATCGCTTGTCCCTGTGTTAATTTGCAGAAATAAATCATGCTGCCTCCTGTACAGAGAGAGAGTTCTAGCTCTACACAAACCAATACCTATTGTTCTTATTGAATCAGATAAGGATGCAGGTAGTGATACTACCATTCAGGCTGACTTATTCTTTGTGAGCAATGCTTCTGAAAAGGGGCAGTGACTTCATTGTATGAGTGCTCTGTCTGTTTTCTCCCTTTTGCTAGGCTTAAATTCTTTTGTCCCGATGATGGGAAATTAGGTCACCTCTAGGCACAAGGGGTGGGTCACATATAATAAAAGGGACACAAAATTAAAGTTTCATTATTTATATCCTGGAAATTGGTTTTATGAGGGCAGATACTATCTCTGCTAAAGGCAAGGGAGGACTGAAAGGGGATAATGTTATTCCTACCCAATGTTTTATCACTGTAATAGCATTTTAAAAGGTTTAAAATTCATTTCATACATTTCTAGAACTCTATATTTTTAATAAATGTACAGAAAATGTGAACAAGTTTAAAAAAAAAACCAAAAAAAAAAAACAACTGACCATTTGCTAAGCCCCACCACACCTTTCTGTTGCTACACCTGTCAAGCTTTACACTCTTGTGCAGTACTTGTGCAGTTTACAGTGATAACAGCGGTAGATTAACCATTTCAAATTCTTAGTAATTATTGAAACAACTTGTCATTGATTTCAGACAGTGGTTGACAACAGCAGATGTCTCATTTGTAGTCTGCAACCATCAATTTTACCAGCTCAAATGACAGCAGTCTCTAGCAGATCAGCTGCAGCTAGCTGGCTAATCAAGGTGACATTAGCTTGGTGAGTTGGATGTTGTCTCCAGATGACTCAACATTTACAGATGAATTGTTTTTAAAACAAAAAACCCTACAAGGGGGTGATATGTGCTTGATACATACATAATACTGTGCTAAAAGGATAAAGCTACATGTCTCAAGCAAAAAGAGTCACTAACGTTACCCTGCATTTTGACAATGTAGCATCCAAGACTGGCTTCCACAGTGAGGAAATACACTGGATGTGCTTGTCATGAATATATATATATTTTTTTAAAAATGCAACCTGTAACTGCATCAAACAATGTAGTATGAAATACCCCAAGCCTTGGAAGTCAGGCTGGGTCACTGTAGACACCAAGCTTAGCCTGACGTGCTAATGCTAACGTTAGCACCACAGTACATTGATGACTGACTAGCTTGATGGTGGCAGTCACATTACCCATATCATTAATAGATAACCACAAAAACATGGGATGCAATTAGAAAACACAAGGGAAGCATTTTCTAAATGAACTTTGTGAATATAAGCCTAGTAATGAGACAAATAATTGGGATGATACAGTTTGTGTCTCTTGGAATATAACAAGGTTGGGCAATTTACAAGCCAGGCAAAAGGTACAAAAGAAGGAAATGAGGAGGTAAGTGAGGGGGAAAAAAAGGAAGCAGAAGAAGAGAAGACTCACAGCTTTCAAGCTGCATGGTACAGGTCTGAATATCCATTGGGAAATTCTTCAAGTCCATAGGGCAGGACAGGGTAAGAGTCAGCCTGAGATAGACAGACAGATTGGAAAAGAGAAAAGGAGCCATTGGGAATGTCAAAAGGCACAAAAGGGTTCAAGAAAAGACACTAAACACAAGGAAAAATGATAGATTAACAGTGAAATAAATCAGTGCCAAGCTGCTTTCCTTTACAAATTATGAAACAGGAGTCTGTATGATAATGTTCAGTGCATTGAAATGGACCAAATAGAAAAAAAGTAACACACATTTTACTACCCAACAGTAGATTGGAGAAAATATATATCGTTACTGCCATTTGATTACTCATTGCACCACAGTAATGCCAAAGTAATTGGTGTAGGCACCCTTATGATTTTTTGTTGTGGTGTGGATGCATTAAGCCTTCATGAATCCTCAGAGGAGAGAGAGAGAGAGAGCTATTTGTGAGTCTGTCTGGAGGAAAGCTATGTAATTACCTGCTGTAATGCATCGCCCAGAGGCGAGACAAGAGCCGCCAGCACTATACACACAGGGATCCATTTGCTACTGTGTTATGATGACACAATATCTTTTTCACAACACGAAGAACAAACTATAAACACTCTAGTGATTGACTCTCCCAACATTGCCTAAATTGTGTCATGTATTTAGTGCACAGAAAAATGTTTGATCCGTAATTGCAGAACATAGTTTATAAGCCAATCTGGAGGATGCAGTAAATCAGTGGAATGAAGCGGTGATTATCTGTATTTGCAATACTCTTATTATGGGTACACTGGAGAAGTGTGTTGTACATCTCTCCCACTTCCCAAAGCTGTTACCACTTCTCAAGCAAACACAGAAAAATGATAAAATCACACTGTATTAAAACATAAATATTTTTGTTACACATGCTTTCATCCCTGAATTGTACGTTTTAATTGCTGGCAACAAGGAATTTGCACTCATTGCATTTCATTGTGTGTATTTAGTGGTATCCTCCCTATAAAACAAAAATAATCTGAATATGGCAGAGCAATTATTCTGCAGCAACATTTCTGTTTCAAAACTGAGCCCTCGATTAAGCCCCTGATGTCATTCTCTGACCGGCCAAACCAGCACTCAGTGAATGCAATCTTTAATTTCAGGAGAATTATCTTTTAGTTACCTGATGCTATACAAAACGCTGCCATCTTGGAAAATCCGTAGCAGCTTGTTATCAGTGGTGACCTCGTGGAAATTGGCTCCTTTCTCGTTTGCAAAGAATAAATCAGGTTTCCAGATAGAGTCCAACATGGATGGATCCAGATCAAGGGAGTCATCTGGGTATTCGCTGTATGCCAGACGAGGGTCATTCCAGTTTTGCCGTAGAAATACATTGAGCCTGTAGTCCTGTGGAAGAACTCAGGCTAGTTAATGGAAAATATATCATCAGTGCAGTTTGTGGTACAGATGGGAGAGTTTAGGAGTGGCTCATTCTGCTGTAGTGATTTGAGATGCTTCTGGGAATGGTCTGATACTGGTCACTATTGGAATCCATTGTGACTGAGATGAACAATTCATTGTACTCAATGAAAGACCAAACTTTTAAGAGTAACTGTATTTAAATGGAGTATCACTTTAAATTTTGAAAATACAAAATTGATTTCCTCTACGTAAGTTTTAAGTGCAAGGATAGAATCCTACATCACTAGAAAATAGACTATGATGTACTATCATGTTTCCATTGTGCCCAATTTCATTACTAACAGTATTAAGTACAGAAATGCGCTCATGCACCCACTGTTGGGAGATTGCAGATGAGCAGCATCATGATGTGGAGAGCAGTGTTGGTCTCAGAGGACTTAAAACAATCAAATGGTTGGTTGTTAGTAGAAAATTGGCAAATAAGTGTTTTTATTTGACAAATGTTGTTTCTGTGAATAAAAGTTACATTAAATGTTTAATATTCATGGGTGAACACTATAATTGTGACATATATTGTAATGATGCCAGATAATAAAAGCAGCTCTCTTGTTGAGATGCCCCTCTTTGACTAAGATGGTGAACTGTTTGCTCAACTGTTGCAGAAGTGCTGCTGGTGAACAAAGGGTAGGCAATACAAGACAGGCCAAGGACAAATGCCGAACACAATCACTCCTGCCTGCAGCCAGCATACATGAGTAATTAAATTAGAATTCTAATCCGTGCAATTAATTCAGAATTCATCTTCCGGCATTGTAGATTGTTACTTTCCTTGTTCACTTCATTTATCAAAATAAAAAGCATGCTTCACCAATGCACACAGTGACATCATTAGTATTGTCGTTCTCTGGGCAAACCTGACCGGAGGTCTGGCCTTCTGCACCTCCCTTAGCCACCCTTAAACAATTCACTGCTATTTTATGCTGATCCAGCAGTTATAACACTGTAAGTGCAGACTCGAGGGCAGCCATTTTTCCCCAACCCCTCGTCCTCTCTCTCTGCCCCCTTTTCATTCATTTTCTCAATTTTTCATTTTAATTGCAGAGTGGACAGTTCATTATCAGTATGTCAGTGACCCACTGGTCTCTGAAGGTTGCACTGTTATGCTCCAGGAAACACAGAAATGAGGGAATGGCTTCAGCACAGAGTGGACTGGCAAAGAAGTTTGTAGGAAAGAAAGAGGATGGAGCGCTTAAAGATTTTTTTTTTTTTTTGTGCAAATCATAGGAGAGATGTAACAGAAGAAACCACAAACCATTTCCCATAATCATGTCAAGAAAAACATTAATTATAATGAGTCTTAAACATAAAACTGCTTTTAAGAGAACACATTTGCATTTCTGAATGTGCAACATTTGAAATTGTCATGGTGTTCTCACCATTGTAGTTTCTGTGATGGACCCAAAGCTGTTGATGAAAATATTACAGGTGACATTCACAGGTGGACCTGAGGGAAGAAGAAACAGCCTGATTTTCACATCTTTCACTTCAGACAGGATTCATGAGATCACACTGTTGTGTGCATTAAACATACCAATTATAATGTACATCCCCTGAGGCTTCTTAAAATGTACATCATTTTCTCCATTACTTTTCAAAATGTTGCTACAGTGCAAGTCACACCATCTCCAGTGCTACTGCTGCGGTTCTTTAAAGACACTTAGAGAAAGTATTTTTTTTTTTTTTCAGGCCTGTCACTTCAAGTGTAATTACAGCTAAAAAATCTAATTTAGTGAAACCAAACTGAAAAAAGATTTAAGAGAAATTATAGGGGAAAAACGGTTAATGTTGGGATTGTTAAAACTAAGACCAAGGAAGGTCACAGAGATGTGTCTGCTCTGTCAGTGTGCAATCGTCTCGCCAAATTATGTTTATATGTTTCTACTTTGCAAAACAAATACATGAAACGTTACCCAATTTGTGTTTTATCAATATGATGAGGAAAAGTTTTTGCAAAAGTATTTGCAAATAACTGTAGCTTCAGTATGACTCATTCAAAATATCTCTGATATCTATCACCCATAAATATCCATAAATCCACTTAGAGAAGAAATGCATACAATCCCAGAACTTGGAAGTTTTCATCCATGAGTACACTGCAAACAGGAGCTGACAATAACTAATTCAGCAAACTTTTAACAGTGCCACAATGTAGACAAATATAGGTCAAAAAACAGGGTTCGGGTTTGAGCCCACAAGTAACTCACTGACGCCCCCAGATTATTGAAACCGAAGTTCCAAAACCATGATGAACATGATTATCCACCAAACCAAATTAAGACAAAGAATAACAGAAGTGAAAAGAGCCATTACTATTAACTTTTTTATTTATTTATATTTTTTGACATTGCTAAATGTCAGTGTTTGAAACCCCCTGCCCACTACAAACCAGACCACAGGACTCAGGATGAGGACCCCGGTGTTAAGTCCTGTGCTTTGGATGCACACCATCAAACCTTGGCCATCTCTGTTTGACTTGCATGTGGTACAAAAATGTTGCTCTTCTTGTACTATATAAAAACCTTGCCCTAGTTCTGGCAGCAATTGTTTTTCCATCAAAACATAATTGTCAATACACTTAAATAGTATATAAATGTAACTTCTAGAAGACAGTGTTCTTGTACTGCATAGTAAAATATTCTATCCCTAAATTAAGTCAAAAGCAAAACAACAAAATGGCTGGCTGTCACCACAAAGGCTTAATTAAATGCTGAACCAACCGTAGTCTTTGAAACCAACCGGGGTGAAAACGAGGACAAGCTGATGCAATATATGTATAGTGGAAGGCTGGAAACCTCAGACTCACACTATAGTTTCTGACAGAACAACGTTCGGCACATACACATGAGAACGGTCAGCTGCTTAGCTTTCACAGCACAGATCCACTGGTCTTTGTTTTTTCTTTTTGTGTATTTTTTTTGTGCTCATGCTTTCCACTGGATTTTCTTGAGGGCTACTGTTGGTCGGCCTCGGCATGTACTGTACCTTTGAAGTTGGGTCTGATGCGCGCATCATAGCCTGACGTTCTCCCCATGAGCTTGTCCAGGAAGTCAGAAGGCGACAGCTGTGGTCCTGCCCTGCTGGGGGGCTTTATCTCCTCCTTACAGGAGCTCAGTCTGACATTACCCAGGGAGAGGAGGGGGGAGAGGGGGAACAAATACAAACAGAAAGAACAGAGAGAGGATTTGAGAAATAGTAGAGGAGGAGAGTGTATATGTATAAGAGGTAGCAGTGTGGGGGGGGCGGGATAATGAGAAACCAACAGAATGAGAAGCCAACAGCTATCAGCAAGTCAGTCATCAGCAAAAAATACCCAGCGGTGGAAGGGGAAATGAGGGTGAAAAATGACGACTGAATAGCTTGACTCAGCTGGCGACTAAAAGCTTATCTATTTCACATCATGTCTGAGACTTATCGTTGTTGTTAGGCCCCGACTAGAGAGAAGCAAAACAGAAGCAGAGGTAAACTCGTCCCTCTCCTGTGCTTCCTGCTGCTTGTGGCTTAGCAGGGGTAAGACTTGACAGATTGATGGCTCAATTGTAATGCTATGAATGTCACACAGGGGAGAGGAAGAAGTTGATACAAGCTCTGGTGAGGCTCAGGCAGCCACTGTCAGGAATAACCAACAGGCCAGAGAGAAAGTAAAGAGAGGAAGGAGGACTGAGACAATCTTAAAGAAACAAAGAAAGACAGAAGGAATGAGGGAAACGCTCTTTAAGCCAGGAAACCCTGGTTTATTATGCAGTGGATTTCTCCAGCTCCTGTTGTAGCACAGCTGATTGCACCCCATGCTTTGATACAATTGTTAACAGTTCACAATCTGTCATGATCTGAAACTCTGGAGTACAGATGGGGGGGGGGTTCAATCCCCTCTGAGGCACAGCTTTGCTGATGCCCTGTGTTCTCATGAGTGTGTTTGGAGCCAGCCACTGATCCACCAATCTTATGGCCTCTTAACTGTATTTAGAGTCACATAAACTGCATTGTCAGGGGCTACAGGATTGGAGGAATTTGTGGAGGATCTTTTCAGGACTTCATGAGTAAAGCCAAGATGATCCTGAGAGATTTTCCATTTGTAATAGTGTAGACAACATTAGAAATCATGAATCATGAATTGTCTCATTGCTATGTCGCAACCATCTTTGCTATTGCGTAATTTTATTAGTTGCATGTTGAATGTAATACTGATGGATCATTCCTAAATGCTGCTGATGCCATATGCAGTTACTTCATATTCATTATTAACTGCACCAAATTGTACAAACTCATAGATGTCAACGTCATATGTCTGTTTTTTTCCATCAGGATCCATACAATATTTCCTAAGAAATTGCTAAAAATGTTGAAAAATACCTTATTTTGTAATGTTAAGGAAAGTGATACAAAATTCCTGGATCCGCCACATTCACCAGATATGCATTAAAATTGAATGGGTTCTTCTCTGGCCCATGCCCCATCCCTCTACCAAGTTTGGTGCAAATCGCTTCAATACTTTTTGCGTAATCCTGCTGACAAAGACAGACACACACTGTATATTATGAAGCTCTTCCATAAAATAGTTATTGCTATAGTTTAATATTCTATTGCACCTAAAATATCAGGGCTCACCAGCTAATTGCACACTATTAGCCTCAGAGGAACGGGCAATTCCATGGGATACCATCATTGGTGCTGCCCCTATTATTTGGATCCACTTAAGTCATCTACCTTCCTGTACACCCTCTCAGGCTGAGAATCTTTCTCCACAGAATATACTAGCATTAATGGGGTTTACTTTTTAGCCATTCCTTGTTTGCTCTCCACACACACTGCTCACTGACGCACCTACATTTGAAATGCCCTTGCTCACCAGTGATTTGTAATTGCTTCCCAGCATACAGAGGGGAAACCTGCATGCTGTCAATTGTCCTACAATGTCCGAATGTAAAGCAATGCAACCATCTGTATAAATCTCAGTTTTTTTTCTTTTTTGGCAATAATAATGACTTGTTTCTAATTTGAGACATTACATTTGTTTTTTTTCCATGAGGCACTTTTCTCCTCTTACTCACTCAGAGGTGTAAATTGCCATGACTTTGTTAGTGGCTAGGATTTTTTTTCTAACCTAACTGAAGGAAATTATCCAAATCAGCAATGTGGTTTGTTTACTTTTCCCTTCAGACTGCATCGCTGTTAGCACATATTTAGCATGCACTGCAGTAAGTGAATGCATCGCTGTTGATACCAATGCAACTTTTAGTGCTGATTCTGATGACCTTCAGGTCAGCAGTACATTTAGCCTGTTGCTGGCTCTGGTTGTTCAGCTCAGTTCAGTCCTGACCTAGGCCTAGACAACCACTGTTCATAAGTTTAATAGCTCAGTAAGCTACTACTTATAACATCGAGCCATCACATCATGACTGTCTCCACGGCTTTTGCAGTGACTTAATAATCTTTTAACAGTTAAGTTATCCACCTCACAGCTGACCTGACAACGGTTCTTTTAGTCACCAGTGAGGCGAGCTACGGATTTAATCAGTATAGTCAGTTCACTTTGACAATTTGGCCTTAAAGATTCCTCCATACATATACTGAACACTTTTACTCTCGTGGACCCGATGTGTTTACTAAACTATTTACTGTGCTGTACTACTAATATGTGCAAGTCCTGCCTTTAACCTTTATTGGAAGCGTGTTTAGCTTGCTGCATAGCCATGTGGGCATAGTGAAGGCAGAAGAATTCATGACAGCTGCCATATAAGCATGATAACATACAAACAGTTTCATTGCTAACCACTGAATAGTTTCCATCCCTGGAGCCTCACAGTTAGTGTGGCTAAAAATAATACCAGCACCCAGCACCTTTGGTTTATTTTCCCAGTGGAGCTGCACACATATCTCAGTCTTTCTAACATTATAAAGCTTAACTCTCACTGGTCCCCTGACTCCACTCCACTGCTTCTGGCTGAGGTCCACTCTGTAGTTTTGCTGATGTTACACTATATTGGTACCCCTTTCATCCCCCTCTCTCTCTCTCTCTCTCTCACACACACACACACACACACACACACACACACACACACACACACACACACACACACACACACACACAATCACAAATGCACACAGTTACACAGGGAGATGGATTGATGGTTTGACCCTTAAGCTTACAATAAGCCATTGATAACGAATAGCCTCTCTTGGGTTGTACTTGTTTTACAAACCAGTGCTAAAAAATAAAATATCCTGTTTGATCTCAAGTGTGAGTTTACTCTGACAGGTAGTCACAAGGATTCAGACACAAATGACTGTGACAGTAAACTCTTTAGTCTTAAAGGAATATTGGCAGAAGAAGAATGGCTCGCTGACACAATAGCACATGTTGGCAGTGATTATTGAATGCTTGGCCTGCTCAAGACTGATGAAAACGGTCAATTTGATGATGTTTCTGGTGTGAAAATCATTAAGGGGTTCACTTCAGTCAACACAGTATCTCCAAAATGTCAAAGGTCTAGCCCATAAGACAAGGTTTGCCTTATTACACTGTTCATCGATGTGTCAGTGCTCTGAAGTCAAAACTATTTAAACAACACACTTCCGCAGCAAATTCTAGTGAAATATAGCCTGGGTTTGTGAGTGTCATTTCTCTGTGAGTCATTTCAGCTTGTTGATGGTAATGAACACACAAGATAGCGGCAATATGACACTCCTCAAATGTGAAAAGTCTTATTATTTTCATGGCGTTTTCTCAACACTGATCACAAACTCTAGTGATCTTAAACTGTATTAAAGATCATTTCCAGTTAGGCCTTTTTCATTGTTGTATAGCACAGAGCGGATACAGCTCTAATGTGTCTGATATCTGTGTTTCTTTTTTGTGTTTCTGGTTTGATTAATGCAAATTTAAGCTTCATTAATCTCCATTATTTGCACTTTTATTGTTAATTGAAAAAAATGTTTTTTTCTTTAATTTCCTTATTTGTGAGCACTCTAATATTTGCAATGGCTTCTTGAGGATGACATGGTAATTTATTTTGCTAAAGGTAATTCTAATCTTAGACACAAGTTCATTAAATTCAGAGATATTTGGCATTAATTAGCTTAATTGCACATCAGAGGTTCAGCATTTCTTGACTTATTATAGGCACTTTAGTAAACTCTTTGCGGTGTGACTATATGGCTGAACTTCTCACCCTCGGCTGTGTGAGTAGTTGTGGGTTTCTGCTTTCCCTCAGGAACCTACGTCGCCTCTCCGTCAGCCTTCATGCATTTCTAATTGGACACTTTCCTATTGTGTATGGTGCCATCCGTGCTTGAATACTGGCTATCTTATAGCATGGAGAGGGTGAAATAAGAAACAGCCCAAATCTGTTTTACAAGCATGTCAAAATTTTGGTCTTTTTGAGTTTTTAGTTTGAACCCATATGTCTGAAAATTTGCATACCTGTGTGCGAAGTGAAGACTGATAGAGGTTTTAGATACAGTGCAGAAAGAGAGAAAGCTGGAATCTCTAATGGCTGTCTTTACTGACAAAAAGTATATTGTGTGTGTTAGGCAAATATTTTTAGATATTAATACCTTTGAGGTTAATGTACTGTACAAAAGTCACTCTTAAAATTAAATCTAGTTTGTATTGACCATTAAACTACAAGTGTAACTGCAAGTGGCTCCACAGAACCCTTCAAAACTAAATTATGTGGTTCTTTGTCTGAATGATTCAATTATTAAGATGCTCTTTGCTGACATTTAATGAGCCTGACCTTTTACTTCCCTCTACATCCCTTTCATTTGAGCATCCGTGCCAGACTGCTGTCGAGAATACGCAACAACTTTCTTTCCTTCCATTATAGAGCTTTGGCTGTCACTCCGCTGTTAACAAGGGATTTGATTTGGCTTTTTAAAGTAAAGTTGACTCAAAGCTGAAATACAATTGTATATACACACACTTTGAAGTTTCAGAAAAAGAGAGATGGTTATATAAAATTGCCACGTTTAAACACACCTTCACAGCTGCTGCGGAATGATTTAGTATCTTTGAAGTTTCAGTATGTCAGCCGGTGTTACTGTACATCTTTATTGCTTTTATGAACATTTTATATTTCTATTTTAATTCTTGAATCTCTCTGAGGAGAAAACT